AATTTGGCGACAGAATAAACCACAATATTCTTGAACGCACTTTTCAAAATGTATTCTGTACATGTAGGTACCTGTCTTGTGTGAGTATGATTGTCATTGTATGACCGGGGGGGAGGGGTTTAATCATACGATATTTAATTGCCTACCCTGTCTAGAAAACCTGTGCACGCCACTGGTTATGAGTCCCATGTAATAGGGGGAGAGCCTATTGCCATATACCGGGTTCAATTCCAGACTCCGCGCTACTACTGAGAAAAACCCAGAAATACAGAGACTCGGGAATCGAACCCGAGACTCCTTGCCTCCGGACAAGTGGTCTCGGGTTCGATTGATCGATGCAATAAAAGTACAGAGTGCAAACTTTAACAGATTTTAGGAGGTTCGAAAACCGTGTGAGGCAAACTGATTTTTAAAAATGTTTGAATGCAGTTTTATTTCTTTTCAATAATAAAATTTTTTGGCAAAATTTTCTATCTTAAGTTTTAAGAGGACTTCTCCTTCAGGTGGTATTACAAAATTCCGCCCCGTATAGAGTAGGTTTTTTTTTTTTTTATTCTCACCATCATAATTAGAAGAAACCCACGAAAGATAGTACCAAAATATCATCAATTTCGGGATCTGAAAGGATACTTTCCTTTCTTTCATACCTGGTTAGTGTTTTCTCAAGACCCTGAATTGAAAAATTGAATGTTGTCTTTGTTATTTGATTTTGATTGTCAAAAGAAATATAGTCATTAATCGATACGACAAATGTTGTATTATTTTTATACGTAGTATATGTATGTAAATGATAAGATTAAAAATAATCATTAAATTTTTGATTTTCTAAATAATGAATTGGTGATTGTACATTTTTATTTAAATATCTGAATAATATAATTATACTTTATTAATTACAACCGTATTGCAAATAAAAAAATATCACCATACTGTGTGTGATATCTTATCTTGTTTATCTAAATGACGAAAAAATTATGTTTCGCTTTCAAAAATCCAAATATTTTTTGTGATGGATAAGAACCTTAATATTAAAAGATTATTCATGATTTTCTTGATTATTATGTGTGCTAAACCATGGCACTATGATTTTAGTAATATAATTACTTAAAATAAAATTTTATATTTAATTTCGAATCTAAACCTACTTATTGCCCATTTATTTATCTTCACTTCATTCGTTCATTGTAGTTCACGAAAGTTGTCTTTGGTCCCGAAAACGTTGTTTACCGCCGCAAATCAAACGAAACTTCGCATTCGAGAATCGGAGTAGACCTACAGTTCTCTATAATTTTGTAGAAGGTTATGAATTGTGACGTCATATTTCTTAACAATTTGCTAGAAAAATACTAAAATTAACATAAC